TCTTTTTAGTAACTTGGAGCACTTTTGACCTCACACCAAATACTGTACTCATGACTAGATTGTGTTAACTTTGCAACACAGAATCCTCTGGTGGAAAGTGGCCAAATTTATGTTTTCTATATACTAACTCAAAGAACTGTAGGGCGGCAGTGAAATGGAATTGTTTGGGAGGGGAATGAATCGTAATAATAGTAGTAATGGTGGTGGTGGTAGTATATTTTTGGAGCCCTTCCTATGTGCCTGTACTTTCACTTGGGTTAGCTCTTTAATCCCCACAATGACCCTATGAAATAGGTACTAGTATCATATCCCCATTTTACAGAAGAAGAAAGTTTAAGAATAATAAAGATAGAGAAGTTGGACGTAATAAAGGATACAGTAGCGTCTGTCTAGTCTCTTCTCATCCATTTGGTCTTTGTAGATGTGATCTCACCCCAGCTGCCGTGGGAAGGATTAGGAATGGGACACACAGCACTCCATGAAGAATCACTCTGATTTTGTCCTTGGAAATACCCGCCGAAGCTAAGGGGGTTCCCCACCACATTTTGTAATGACTCTCTGATCACATAGCTTCCTTATTCTGGCCAGCACTGCTTTGTACAGCTCGTGGGAGCTCTTCTCTCATTTGTAGGATTTTGGGCATTTACAGCACCTTTCCAGCACTTACTGTGTGTCCCAACTACTTTGTTTGAGATTGAAAATTTATAGGCAAAGAAAATGTAGCCTCTGCCATCCATGAATGATCTGTACATTCCATAACGTGTAGTGGAATAAGTGCCATGGAAGTGGGTAGATATTCTTTCTTACCAAGAAATAGTAAGATTGTCCCCAGAAGGCACCTCCTTCATGGCCTTACAGTGTTTCTCATTAGAAGCACCGTTGGCATTTTGAGAAGCACATATTTTCCTAGCACAGGGCTGGCTTTTCCTTATATTTTTTAACATTTGGCACGCTTGACCTCTACCTATTAAATGTCAGTAATCCCCCACCCCCATTATTAGGACAACTGAAAGCACACCCACACACTTGCCAACACCCTGAAGAGGGCAAAGGCGTCCTCATACGTGGTCGCTCAGGTTTTGCTCAGACTGGGTGGAGGAAGCTGGGGAAATGGACTGCGGAATCATACTCTTTGTACAGCTGTCACATTCCTCCATCTCATCCCTACCGTACCATCTTGAGACATCACATCATTCTTGGGAAATCTTTTTTTTTTTGGCTGTGCCATGCAGCTTGCAGGATCTTAGTCCCCCCACCAGGGATCAAACCCGTGCCCCCTGCAGTGGAAGCACGGAGTCCTAACCACTGGACCGCCAGGGAATTCCCCATTCTTGGGACATCTTGACACTGAAAGACTATCTTTATGAAGAGGGCAACAGCCTACTCAGGAGGTTTTGCTTTGCTAAAGACCCGTGCATTTTACAAATTTCCTTTGAGTTCCTCACAACCAACATCCATTTGATGGAACAGATATTAAACCAGAGAGAAAGATACAGCCCTTTAGTGTGTTTTGGCTAGAAGTTGGAGGGGTAGGGCATGCTGCAGGAAGGGCAACGATGGTGAGAAACATTTAGCCCTGCAGTGCCACGGTGTAATACAGAAAGTAAGACAACATTCTAATAAAAGGATGCGTGGTTTAGAAAAATTTGCCGTATTGTTGGCAATTAGCTGCATATGTAGTCAGGACAAGACACAGCATAGTTCACTTTGAATTTGAATCAGTTGTTAAACATCCAGAGCATTCCCACAGCTAACTCTTTTGAGTCTGTCTGTCCTACTCTAGAAATAATAAAAAAGTGTAAGAAGTTATTTATAGGGAATGTATACAATATTATATGTTAGTGTTGAGCAAAGAATAACACAAAAACTAAATTTTATAGAGAATACTTGAATCTCAGAAGTTTGGTGGGAGTAGAAAATGTATTACTAGTAAACTAGAATGAACTGAGGTTTAAGAAAATGGAATGGAATTTTGGATGGAAATGGAAACTCATAGCTGCCATAGAAAGGACTATGTCCATATATAATCTCAGGCAAAACCCAAGTAACAGTGCACCTGGTGTCCTCCGTGTCAGTCATTATAACACTTGCATATTCTAAACCCCCAAAGCTTGTGCTTTAACTGTGAGATACCGTGGCCTGAGTAACACCCACTGGAATTCAAAGCAAGCAAGTTTCTCATGGCACTGACCACATTGCCTTAGACAGCTGAGCCCTTCTGCACCCATCCAGTGTTGCACTGTAAAAATTCCTTCCTCTTTGCTAATAGCCTCCACTTGCTTAAGCAACTTCTTTCTGTGACTTGGAGACTGCACTTATGTTACTGATGAGATTAAAAACAGCTTTCACTACAAAAGCTTATGTTGTTGCAGTCTGTTCAGTGTGTGTGCAGTTGGATGAATAAACCTCCTCTATCCAAAGTCCCTCGTTTGATCTTCTCTTGCCCACTGTCCTGCCCCTTACACATCCACAGACCCCTGCTGAGACTCTGTCCCTGGGTCACCTCCAAATAAGGGGGCCTAGTTACAGACTCTGATTTCTAATTACAGCAAGAAGGCATCAGAGTAAATGCCTGCTAGGAATATTTGTTATTAAAGCAGTTTTTAGAAAATAAAACCAACCTAGCTAGCCCATGAGGTGAATTCTGATATAAGCTACATAGTTATGTAAATCCTTAAATATCGAATCCCTAAGTCTGGATTGCCTCTTGTGGCTACAAACTTCTGTAACCAGCAAGGCAGGAATGGAAGCAGAATCACAATTGATGAATTTTCTAACCTTGGGCCCGGTTATCATAAATAATAGTTTCATTCTAGATTCAAATTCCTGCCTTAATTGGTATGGAAATCTCAAGGTTATTCATCCAGGCAGTTCCTGCTGTGTTATCTGTCTCTTCCATGTGTTCATGTGTTCATTGGATCAGCTCACTCCTGCCTTGAGCCTGCTTTTCATTTACACCAGAATACCTTGCTCCATTGCCTCGCCTTCCACTCAGAGCTCACTCGGTTCCCTTTGCTATTTGCTGTATCTTCAGTAAGCTTTTCTCTTCCCTCACTAATGAGAACAGAGATCATGGGTTCCTCTGGCCCCTCCCTTCTTAACCCCAGAAGTCCTATTTGACTCCCACTCAGCACTTCACTTTGTGAATAATATTAACATTTTATTCACATAGTCGGGTATTTATTTACATGTGATCCTTGGTCTCCACATTTCCTCACATCTCTAGAAGCCCCTTGGGAAAAATCATGTCTAATAACACGCACACTGAGACAATTCAAGAGGGATCACGGGAGATCAAATGTCATACTAAGAAAAACTTAATAAGCAAGCTCTGAGCTTTTTGGTACTGTTCTCCAGGAAGGTTAGCTGAATGTGTGTAATTGTGCAACTGAACTGTGGGAGCCAAACTATGGGAGGAGGTGAGCAAGGGATGTGACATGTCAGAGGTGAGATTATGTGAGTAGAAAACCTTTCATCCATGGACTTCAGAATATATTACACAGACTCTGCCTTAACTCTGTGTCTGGAAATCTCTTTGAGAGAGGTAGAGAAACCAAAGCAGAGACCCAAAATGACCAAGCTATGAGAGAGAGGTCCCCACAGGCAAGAGAGGAGCGTGGGCTTCTGGCCTCAGAAGACATCCCACTTTGCTCCCTCCCACAGGGCTCTGTTGAGGTCACAAGGACCCAGGCTGTTAATAACCAGGCAGCCGTAGGTCAGGACTCAGGAAGGTTCTGTGTAAACTCACCCCATGTGTTGTCGCATCTCTGCCACCGAAATGACCATTAACACCAAAGGATATTTACAAAGGGAAGAATAACACGATGATTTAAATCACTATGAATGTGTCTCTTGAATTAGGCACCGTTTTATTTCTCTAAGCACCATTCACCAAGGTTTTGGGATAAGGTTGTTCACTACGACTCTTTGTGTTTCTTCTATGTACAATTTTCTGGTCACTGTAACTCTAAAAGGAAAAAAACAAAAATACTAGGTAGTTAAAGAAGGTTCAGAGATGAATAGCCAAAATGTTAAGGAGATGGAAGGATTTCCAAATAAGACTGTTCTAAAAATAAATGGGGACCTTTTCAAAAAAACTGTGGTACAATAATACATAATATAAAATTTACCATTTTTAAGTGTACGGTTCAGTGGCATTTCGTGCATTTACAGTGTTGTGCAACCATCACCGCCATCCGTCTCCAAAACTCCTTGTCATCATCCCAAGGTAAAACTCAACACCCATTAAACAATAACTCCCCATTCCCCTGTCTCCCCAGCCCCGGACAACCACCATTCTACTTTCTGTCTCCATGAATTTGACTATTCTAGGACAAATCATACAATATTTGCCCTTGTCTGGCTGACTTATTTCACTTAGCATAATGTCTTCAGTGTGTGTAGGCTAAATGTCAACCTGGCTGGGGACCCTGATGAGATGAATTCAGAATAAGGAAAAATGTATCTTCTCACACCAGTTATCCCATGATATGGGGACATAAGCTCAAATATAAACACTTAATTTTTAAAATTTAGGTACTTCACTAACGGGTGGCTAAGAAAAACCAAGACTTGCACAATTCACCCCTATAATTTTGAAGTTGATGTTTAGATAAGATGATTGTTCCTCTGTTCTTACCTTTAAATAACCTACCATCCTTCATGTGAAGCTCTCTGGGCTCCTCTTGGAGGTCCTTTTGGCAATCACAGGGGAGTGAAATTGCTATTTTAATTATTTAACATTCAACAGATATTTTTGTGCGCTGAGCACGTGCCAAGCCTTGTGGCAAGCGCTAGGAATCGAATGGAGAGCAGAGCAGCCCGCCTTTGTCTTCATGGAGCTGCGATTTCGTAGGCGAGTCAGATCATTTATCCCACAAACAGATTTGTAACTTCAAACTGCTTTCAGTTCTATAAAGGAAAAATAACTGAAATATTTCTCTCCTTACCTTCATTGTTCACACAACCATTCTAAGAAATCTGCTTTCTTTTCTCTTCAGGAGCCTCCAAACAGGTAGCTTTGCCTGGGAGGGAGAGGTAAAGAACAACGCATATAGCCAGGCTACAGGGGTGGTCCTGCAGCACAGGTGCCACTCCACAGCAGGCAGCTATCAACTCCATTTTGCCCTGCAACAACTTGAACAGCAAAAACTTCAGTCCCGGCAGCTTCTGGACCAGAGTCGAGCCCGGCACCAGGTAATTCAAGATAAGGCTTTTCCATGTGCTAATATCTTCCTTCTGTTGGTTTAAAAAAAAAAAAATTCTTTTTTTTTTTTTCATGAGAAATGTGGGGATAGTTTCTCAAAAGTTTACCAATGCCACCATGGCTTGAATGGTTCATGGGGAATCTACCCACGGGGAAGAAATGTTCTGAATCCATACATTGGCTTTGTGGGAAAGTGATCTCGAACCAATTTAGACATTCTTTCTTTCATTTGAATGAATGTTCCTGCACAAAAATCTCTTTTGTAGTATCTACCCTTTCTGTTGCCTGATCTTAGTTCAGTAATTGCCCAAAGGGTCTAATTCCCAGATACCTAAAAGCTAGTATTTTAAAGATTTTTTTCTAAATGTACTGCTTCCTTGCCTTCATTGACTTGGTCTGTTTAAGCACACATTAATCCTTTATGGCCTATCACGATGTTCAAGGAATAAATAACTTTCAGGTTCTTATAGGAAATGGTCTTAATCTAGGTCGTTGGTCTTCTGGTTTAACAGTTTGTACATAGAACAATGGGTACAAAAATGTAACAATAGACACAAAAAGTCTTGTCGTAGTGGAACTTACACTCTACTGAAATATTAATTCCCTACTCACTGTCTATAAAATGACAGACTCCTGAGTATATGTGTAAGGGAATTATATAAGTATATTGCACTAGTGAATCAGTATGGCCCCAATTACAGAGAAAGGATGACTTCACGAAAAAGTCAGGCCGTGAAGACAGCTTTTTCCTGATGACTCAGGATTATCATTAGAATCAGTTACCATGTTCTACATGTTCTGCTGGGCTGAATCCGTACTGATTCTGTGAGCTTCCCTGATATTTGGTTATGTGAAGAAATAGCTTTTATCAGCTTGATCTCTTGTCATTTGCTCTTATAAAAAGGTAGTGTGCATTAGTGTGTGCAAAATTAATATTCACTCAAAGGCTAAGGTAATGTTCCCAAGTTTTTTTTTTTCTTCCAAATAAAACAGTTATCATTATGCTCCCTCTCTCTGTTTTTTCAACTGCCGTCCAGGTCCAGAGAAATTTTTATTTTTTTCAGTGTCATTCACCACTTGATCATCTTATCTGTGATAGTATAATCTGTATATTATATTAATTCATTGGAATTGAGAAATCGTTAAGTGCAGGCATTTGTTTAAGGGTTTGTTTGTTTGTTTTAATATTTATTTACTTGGCTGCGCCAGGTCTTAGTTGTGGCATGCTGGATCTTCGTTGCAGCATGTGGCATCTTGTTCCAGGGACTGAACCCGGGCCGCCTGTATGGGAGCGCGGAGTCTTAATCACTACACCACCAGAGAAGTCCCCAGGCATTTGTGAAGTAGCTCTTTAGGTCATTTTTACTGGAGAAAAACCCAGACTTCTTATCTGTAAAGCATGGAATATAGCATCATCACACTGCCCCCTGCCATGTAGAAATTTCCTTATTTAAATAGTCTTTAGGATAGCGGAGGCATTTAGGCCAGTTTGCAAACAAACAAAAAAATTTTTTTTTTTGGCCGTGCTGCACGGCTTGTGGGGATCTTAGTTCCCTGACCAGGGATCGGCAGTGGACCGGCATGGAGTCTCAACCACTGGACCGCCAGGGAATTCCCAAGAGCTTTATTTGGGGTCTTAAGGATTCCAATTCAGGAGACAGATTTGGGTAATACCAAAAGATTATTCCAAGGAAGAGAAAAAAGTCAGGGAAAAAAGGCAAAAGCCACAAGGTTGTTCAAGAATTATGATTGATCCTGATGCACGAAAGGAAATATTTATCCTTATAGGATAGGCAGTTATGAGTTATTTTAGGGTAAGGGTCCAATAAATAAATAGGCTATCACAAGTTATTTTAGAGTGTAAGGGTCCACTAAGTATCTTGAGTTTCTGGAACGTTGGGCAGATGTTCTGGATTCCTATGTTAAGACAAGAAGTGGTCGAAGTTCAAATTCCATCCCTGCTGAGATGTGCAAAAGTCACACTTCCTCAATGGCCTCCTGGCTCCATTTTAGAGAGCCCTCTTAGCAATAACAACTCCATTTAAATTTTTCTTCCGCAGTGTATCTTAGTTTTTTTTTTCAATCTGTGTAAATTTCTTAAAATTTTTTAAACTTCTGAATCCCCTGCCTTTCAGATTACTTAAGAATGCCAACTTAATCAGATGCTGGATAGTGGAAATATATATAGCCTTATTTCCCACGTTTGAGTATAATCTGTGGCTCTAATGCATCTAGACAGTTGGTCCCTTTCAATGCTTCCATACCTTGAAATGGTGGATGATTAAAGAAAAAAAAAAGGAGGTGATTTGCAGAGCAGTGAGGTTTTGAGGAAAGAGAGACAGTTTTGCTGATTTTCACTTTTAGAAACTGCTTCATTTATAAGTCCTTCTCATTCTTTTGATTAGCTTCCAGCAAGTCACATTCCTTTGAAAATTCAGAGTACTGCTATTCTTGTGTGGATTTTTTTTTTTACTGAGGATTATACTGATTGAGTTTCACTGAACTATGAAGTATATGGAAAATATGTTTTTTAGAATCTGTCAGAATGCCTGTTTTAGGGAGGAGTCAGCACTCCCAAGAAGGGAGTTATCTCGTGTCTTCTGGAGAGGGAACAGAAAATCTTTTATCATAATTTTATATATGTTTATAACATCATTTTATTTTTTCCCCCATTCTTCTAATCCACAGTTGACTTAGGTCAAAATGAGTAAGCATGAAGTTTGGGACTGTGGGGGAGAGTGAAAGAAACTAAATTCTATTAGCCTGAAGAGTTTATAACTAATAAAATAGCAAATAAGATAGTAGGTGTTCTAACATGAAGAATAGTACCTTAGAGCGCTTTATTTCAGAGGACATTAAGAAACACTCCACAGAAGGAGCAAAGCCCTAATAGGATTTTTAAGCCTGTGTTTTTAGCTCACCTTGTGACTGTGCTAGACCTGACCCTTATAATTACAACCAAATGATTGCTTGAAACATGGTTTGCCTTCTCAGGATGTCCTATATGTCTGTCCTTGGGTTAACCCCTTTAGATAGAGATGGTTTCTCTGATGAACTTCTTATGCTTTGGATTCAGTTTTCTAAAGTGTAGGTAGCCATTGATATAACTAACAATTTGGTTAATTGCCTGTTTGAGAGCAGTGAGTAGAATTGAAATCTGATTTACCTAGTATCCATTCACAAGAGAGATGTGTTTATGGACCAGGACATTAAAAGGGGCCTTGTATTGTATTGTATTATATTATATTAATCATATCATATCATATCATATCATACATGGACAGACAGTGCCTTTCATAGTGATCTCCTAAAAATATGGTTGGAAAAATAATCATGCAGCCTTTCTTGCATTACATGCAGAGGAAATTCTCCATCCTTTCTGCACTTAGATAGCCAGCTTTTTTTTTTTAATTAATTAATTAATTAATTTTTTAGATAGCTTTTTGTAGGTATTAATTTCAAGGAGGAAAACTCTGATTGAGGATATGAGTTTTGAAATGGGCATCTCTAACCATTCATGCAGTGTAAGCTTTGATCCTCATTTCTGTCTAGCATTTCACTCATAAATCTAGGAATTTTCATGTACCGAATCAGCCCTACAAAAGACTGGTCCTGTAGCATGGACCTGGGAGAGGTGACTTTCACCTGGAGCCACTGGCGGAGGCTTCCAAGGCCAGAGGTACAAGGAAATAGGTGTGATCCAGTCCATTTGATAGAGAGCATGATAAACAAAATAAGACAAAATTGAAACTATGAGCTTTTACACACTGATGGGTAAAACTAGCAATTAAAAAAAAATCATTCTAAATCAGAGCAAGGGTCAGCAAGCTCTTTCTGTAAATGGTCATATAGTAAATATTTTAGGCCTTGCAGGCTGTACGTAGGGTCTGTGGTAACTACTCAGTTTTACCGTGGTAGAATGAAAACAACTATAGACAATATGTAAATGAATGAGTGTGGCTGTTTTCCAATAAAACTTTATTTACAAAAAAGATGGCAGGCTGGATTTGGCCTGCAAGCCGTAGTTTGCAGATCCTTGGCTTTGAGCAACAGAACCCCTTGGAGCGTCTCTTAAAACACCGATTGCTTCCCTGACTCCATTTCTGATTCAGTAGGTTTAGGATGGGCCTCGATTATTTCCAAGTTCCCAGATGATGCTAAGCCTTTTCTTCTGGGGCCCACACTTGGAGAACCATTAAGCTAGAGAGAAAGAGATTAGAAATGTCTCCCTTTTATTTGTCTTCTGTCTTTTGAAAGGGAGGCTGGATTTGTTAAAATTTAGTGTTGCCCTTATAAAATTTCAGGCAATCTTTTTTTTTTTTTTATAGGAACTTTGTTTCCATCTTTTTCACTTCATCTACTACAGTTTCCTTATAAATAAGTTTTCCAAACTTGAAAACTTCCTGTTCATTCTTCTTATCAGGGTACATTCTGCTCAGCAACCACTGCTCCCAGGATTCAAGTTTTTTGATGGATGAGAGATAAGTAATGGGACAGATTCCTCCCTCTTTGTTTTAGTAAGAATAGCCAACTCTTAATAAGCACTTACTGTGGTCCAAGCACTATTCCAGGTGCCTTACATATATTAATTCATTTAAAATGAGTTCCAGGATAGTTGAGGAAACTGCAGGATCTTGGTATTCTGGGGATGGTACAGTGACTCTGTGTGTTGATACATCTGAATGTGTCTTCTCTCCGGTTTCCCTCACTGCTTCCCACTTCCTTCCCAGACTGGCTTCCTGCCCCTGAAGGAGAAGGATAAAAAAATTCTCTGTCGGCTGAATGGGGGGACTTTCTTGGGCAGCAGTGACAGCTGGTGACATCAGCATGAGTAGCTCTCCCTGCTGGGGTCTGCGAGGAGGGCTACACTGGCTATGAGGCCTGACTGACCTGATTCTAATTGCCAACGCTGAGCTGATGTTATTCTTGGCCCAGGGCAGAGCGATTACTCAGTAGTTTCTGTTAAAGTGATCCTTTGTTAAACCTCTGC